TGCTTTGTCACTGATTCAATTTAGGGAAGGAATTAGTTTCAAACTAATAACAGCTTGCTGCGCGATCGTCACTTAAATAGCCCGAATGTGCACCCTATTGGTCGAAAAAGTTCTGTACTGCCAATTTTTTTTTAGGGGAGAAGAACTATTGCTTCCAAAAGAGCAGTCTGATTAAATCTGAAGGTAATTAGCTCTCATCTGGGGATGATAAGTCCACGAAGGAGCAGGAACGGCTTCTATCATTTGAAAACTTTAAGCGGCGGTGATCCTTTTTATTACTTGTATTTTTAGTAATAGCTTGTTGTTATCAGCTGTCTAACCTTTGGTGCCACCGAAGAATGGTACAAATAGAGGAGGATACACGAAGTTTGACAATCGTCGTCATGCATACAGTTTATTTCGGTCTCATGACACTTTTGGCACTAGCTGGAAACTTACTCGTTTTTCTCGCTCTCTACAGGAACAGGAGATTACGAAATATCACTAACCTGTACGTGCTGTCTCTGGCAGTGGCTGATGTGACTGTAGCTACCTTTCTTTTTCCTTTTAAAGCAATCGCCTGCGGCTTACGTAGGTGGCCATTTGGTTACAATTTTGCCCAGTTTGTAGGTTGTATTCAGCTCCTCTGGATTGGAGCGTCCGTTTGTACCCTTATACTAACAGCTTTAAATCGATATTTTTGCGTTGTAAAGCCACAAAGGTACTCCATTTACTTCAGTAGAATGAAAGCGACTCTGTCGATCATTTTAGTTTGGTTAGTAATGTGTGTTATTTCATTTGCCGTTGCTTTCTCTTCGCAATTTGTTTACATCTGGAATCCAAACGTCCCCATGTTCCGTATAGAGACTGCTAAGGCTGGTAATATCACTTACTCATGCTTTGGTTTGCTGTCAATCTCGATCGTAGTGTATGGTTATGGAAGCGTCTATCGATTCATACTACGACACAATAATGCTGTCGCCCCTTCTCTTCAAGGAGCTAATAGCTCAGGTGCAGTGCGGGCACAGGAGATAAAATCCTGTCGAGTTCTTTTTGCCACCGTGTTTGGATTCTGCACCATCTGGTTTCCTTGGATTTGTTTGTCAATGTTAGAATATGGCTTTAACATTTCCATTCCATCCGTTGCACTATCGATTGCAATGTTGTCAACTTCCATCTCTGCGTGGATCAATCCGGTGATCTATGGCGTTATGAATCGAGCAATGCGAAGGGAGTTTCAAAACATACTTCTATGTCGGAATTGAGGGTGGCCAAGAAAATCCATCTGATGACACCTTTGTAGTGTGAATGACCACTTGGTAGAGTAAACCTGAAGCGAGGGCAGCATTAGATTCAAAAACGGAGAAAGTATTTATGGTGTCTGCCCTACAGAATTAGTTTTAGCAAGTTAATGTTTTCCCTTCACAAATAGTACCCTTTGCCGGTCCAAAGCAAACTCAACTATCTGTTAGATCAAATGCTTAACAGATTTTTCGATATTTTTGCGAGAAGTTGGCGAAAGGTTCAGCCATTGAATGTTCTCTATGCATGCTGAGAAGAGAATGAATTGCTAGTTAAACATTTATACGATATTTCTCGGTCAAATTCTGGCGAATTTAAGGATGTTTTGAATGTAAAATTAGCCATAAATTTTGAACCCATTTATCAGTTAAAAGACAGATTATCTCATCTAGTATTAATGTGAAAAACGTAAAACATTGATCCGGGAAGGAGTCATCTTAGCCGAGATCCATGCTGTACAGCGTGCTCAGTTCTGCTGGTCTTTGATACTTGCTACAATCAATGGTGAACTTTTCTCGAAATCATTCTGTTTCAAAGGAACATGTGATCTTTTTTTTTTTTTTTAATGAAAACTTTCTTAGAGCTGGACTTTCTTTCGTAAAAATAATAGCTTGCGTGAAAAATTGAAATATATTTCTCGTATAAACATCTCACCCCTTTGACTAGGGATCGGCAGGTTATCTCCTTTATTGCATTCGTTTAACATCTGTTAGATTTTTCTCAAGAGGAGCTATGTTTCCTAAAAACCATACCGTAGTAAATGTTATAATTATTTGCCATTGACAACGTAATATGATGAGGCCTTTTGTAAAACCTTATTTGACAAAAAAAAATCCTGTAGGCGAGTTATTCTGTTTCTACAAGAAGAGCAGTCCTGAGAGAAGATTTTATATTGAAATGGGTGTTTATCGATTCTTACTTTTGAAATTCTGTTTGGTTTTTCATTCTATCTTCATTTAACCATTTATCAAGGAGCCTTTCGAAGCCTTGCATTGATAATGTTTAAGAGATTCTCAAAGGAGTTATTGCTTTTACAGCTAACGGTTTAAAGTCATGACCTTTTCACGGTCTCCGATTAATCTTTTTCCTTGTTATTAAAAGAACAATATTTATGGTAAACTTTTTTTACGACTATAACGGTTAAAATTCTTAAATTTTTCGCCTAACAGCTAATATTCTTCACTGTGTTATGGCTAACGGTTTTACCCCACTTAGACTCTCGTTTCACGTTCAGTCTACCTTTTTGCGAAAGGGATAATGGGGGTAAGTTACTAAAGAAACTGTGTTGTTGCGTCGGTGGGAGAGTGTAACAAAGTAATTTGATGTTTTCTATTGAGTTGAAAACTTAAATTGACCACTGTAAAGAGTCTAAAAGCTGACCTGACGAAACGCTCGAAATGTCAGCTTTTATACCCTTTACGGTGGCCAATTTACGTGATCAACTTAGTTGATAACATAAAATTTCCTTCCTTTTTGTTAGTTGGTTGTCAGACAGTTGATCAATAAAATGCACAGAAGTCATGAATCCGTATTTATCTGTCTCTCTGGGAGTTGCTTAGAAGAGAATGACGATAGACTTTAAAGATTCAGCCAAAACTATATAACTGATATCGTTCATAAATTTCAATTTGTTATTCGAGTCTAATTTAAAGTGTATCAAAACTAAGCAAGAGGAGGAAAGGGTATTTTAAGGCTCGTTAATGGACTGGTCATTGTTAATCGCCGGGTGGCGGGAGTGAGGGGCGTTGAACGAAACATGATCCCATAAGGCTTTGTAATATCTTGAGAGACGACTGATCTTCTCCGTTCCCCCCGAAAACCATGTGATCCCCGCCCAAATCTAGAAGCTTGGTACAGCTGGACGATGGCCGTGTAGCACGGCATTCCAAAGAGATTGGGAACCACCTGCTCTTTTGTATCGCTTGTCCATAAAGATACAGCGGGCTCAGTCTCGTTTGGGATGACGAGTACCCTGTACATCTACTTAGCTGTGTATGGGATGTGAAAGTTGAAGTAGGCTATCAAAGATGACTAGAAAATTGTCTAAAGAGGAAATCAAGGACAAACTAGATGGAGAGGAACTAGACTTGAGTCTGTGCAATTTGGCAAAAGTACCAATACGAGAAATGGTGAGCGTTTTTAACTTCCGATCGAAAGATCATTGACTTCAGAGACCACGCGCAAATTTCCATTTATTTTTATAGTGCTAACTGTCTGCTGTAAATTTGTTTTTAACGTTGATTCTTTTAATTTTTGGGGTGAATAGGCATTTATCTTCCTAGTCTCCTTTTGTGCGGCAAACTTGTCCTGTAGGGTTCTATTTAAAGAGAAAAAGGTTGATACATTCTGAAACCATTACTCACTCTATTACAGAGTATCTTCAAGTTAGGAGATAAATTGATAGGGTACTAAATGACGAACAATGTATGTAGGAGGTCGCTAGCATATCAGTCAAATAGTTTCATAGATATTTAAGTGCATAAAAACATATTAAGACACATCTGAAAGATGATAGAATTGTTCGGCCACTTTTACTGAGTCTTACCGAGCGCGTTGATTTTCTCTCAGACGTGTTGCTTGAAAAACCTATCTCAATCGACTTGCTTGTAGCGCGCAAATCCGGTATTAATATTGTTTTTTTGTAGTTTCCTTATTTGTCTTTTATGAGTAATAGGTTGCGTATCTTTTTCCTCCAATAATTCATTTTCTGTGGATGTATTATCTCCATAGGCCTCTCTGCCAAGGGCGACGATTGTGGATTTATCCTGTAACAATTTAACTATACTCTCGGTGAGAATTTTGTAATCTATATTCTAATGCGACACTTAGAACCAGAAACAACATTAATAATCGAGACGAGCGTCTACACATAAAATTTGCACTGTAGGTTGCAAAATTTAAAAAAAATCTTTGGAGGAAATGTTGCTAACGAATACAGTACTCTAGCGAAGACTCCATTGAGGTTCGAAAAATCACAAGTTATATCCGCTGCGATGTTGGTTTTACGTTGCGTCCATATCCAGTGCATTCAAACGGTGATTAAAATTACCAGCTGTTTATTTGAAAAATCGAACGGGAATTGTTTTCATTGTCGGGAATTCGAAAGATTCTTTCCTGGCGCCAGAAATGATTTGGGATTTTTAAATGCTATTTATTGCCGCTGAGCCCTTTCTGCAGATATAAATTGGGAATTTAGCACTTTTTGCATATAAAGTATATTTTACAGTCCATGCTGGCCTATTTATAATATTTTATTTATGATGCTGTTAGGGTAGTTAAACAATTTAAGTATGACAGCTGAATATGAAAGCTGCTAACACATTTTAGGGAAATTCTGAATGTATAATTAAAAGTATTTTTACTAAAATTTTCTTTGACAAAGGGTTTTAGTGTTAATAATGATTATCTCTCAGTGACAAGCAAGCAGGTTTAAATTTTATGTGATAGAGTGAGTTGACATGGTGAGAAAAATGGTTAAACGTGTCTTTTTTTTGTTGACTTGGAGTCGTGAGCATTTCATCTTAAAAGATATATTCCCTGGTTATTTACTAAAATTGCAGTGCCTTTTTGGCTTGGCAGTTTGCTTAATTTATAGTGCAAATTAACCTACAGGAGATATTGGTCACTGACAGATGTAAAAGGTGGTGTCAAGGTGCAATGAGATTGGAGTTATAGTTTTTTTGCATCTTTTTAAAGTCACAGAATTGCAATGTGCTTTTCTCAAATAATTTCAGAGGTGACTAAAAGCAAGAATAGGCCAGAGTAAGCATGAATTAGAATTGATAAGATAAACATGAATTGCAAATGAGGAATTTGTGAAATTTATACCAAATGCATGCATATTTTTACGCTGTAGAAATCTTTATTTAGCTTGTGGCTTTTAGACTTTATAAGTCTATTATTTCTTTATTGCAAAAATATAAATTTCAAGAGGTCTTTAAATTTCCCTGCTCCCATTTGTCTTAAAGCTCTCTTAAAGAGATCACTGCTAGTAGAAAAAAATTAATAGGTGAGACAACTTACCTTTACAGTGCGTCTCTCCACCCAGGATTACAAATGGAACCTGCCAATTGTCAGGGAAGCTTGATGAAATTTTATCCCACTAGAGCCAACCTTGTGATGGACTGGTATCCCATCCAGGGGGGAGTAGTAATCTAGTTGTTCCATGCTATGGAAACTGCCGTTAGCTGCAGCTTGAGTATAGACTTTGTGTACCTACACTGTACCTCAACTGCAACTCAATTCATCTGTGGGGGGTTTATTTAAAATGTTGATTGCTTCTTATGACAACAAACAATTGCAATAATCCCTTTGTGTTATGCTTTACCTTTTTAGGATGCATTTTGCCCCTTACGACACTTAGTACAACTGGGCTTAAGCAACTCAGTTCATCTGTAGATGGTTAAAATGTTCACTGTGTCTTATGACTACAAACAACTGCAATAATCCCTTTGTGTTATGCTTTACCTTTTTAGGATGCATTTTGTACCTTACGACACCTAGTACAACTGGACTTAAGTAAGAATGCTCTCACAGAACTTCCAAAGGACTTTGGTAATCTTAGCCAACTGAAGCGACTTGACCTCTATAGTAATCAGCTGAGCTCCTTGCCAGTTAGTTGTGTAAGCCTCAGGGAACTGAGATGGTTGGACTTAAAGAATAATCCTATGCAAACGTTATTGCCAGACATCATTGGAAATTGTTTAAAGGAAGAAGAGTGTAGACAGTGTGCTATAAATGTAAGTATGTTTGATTTAATATCAAATTTGAGGGAACATCACATCTTAGTCTAAAGTCTTTTATGCCATGCAGGAGATTACTGCTCCTCTTGCAAATGGGTAAACTGTCTTGATAAGTATCAAAAGTACTGGATGAGCATCTTGGAAAAGGTGCAACACACTTGGATAAGAACACTGCTGTTTGACATACAGCTTTTTAAATCAAACTTAAGCAATTTAATGATGTCATGATTTCTTAGAGAAGTTGTTAAAAGACTGCTTCGCTGTAAGTTCAGTGACAAATGTCAGTCTGTAATCACAAGTATAATAACAGACAGAATTGGACAACACAAAGTCCTGTTACCAATTAAACAAGAATATGACAAAATTTGAGAAAGAAACTTAGACATCAATTATAGGTGTTCATAAAAAAAAAACTACAGTTAACTCGGGGAAATGGGAGTCAACAGTGCACACACGTGACACATTCTGTCTCACACAGGCATGACAAGTTAACTGTCCCTTTAATTGCTTAATTGGTGTTCAAATTGGGCTGATGATAACCAATTACATGTAAGAATTCTGTTATAGTTTTGCTTAAAATATATATCAAATCTCATAACAATTGTTAGGTGCTGACTTATCTTAAAGTGTTAGCTGCTAATGAGGAACAGGAGAACCAAGCAAGGCTAATATTAGAAAGAGGTGAGCATGCATGCTTGTACTTAAGATGCATTGATCAACAGTTTAACCATTAATTTCTGGTACCCACTGTATTTTTGTGCAAATTTAATTGGTGGAGTGACTGTGGAAGGTGACAAATTGTGAATGCAACAGTTTTTGATACCTGGTTTCATCTCACTCCTGTGCCACAAGCTCTTTAATCCTCAGAAACAAGTTCACCATTTTTGGGTCAAAAATTGATACTGGGCCTCAAATACTCAAAAAAAATGTTTTAACTGTGATTAACATGTGATTTGTGTATTTAGCTGTTATTTTATTAGATTGTAACCCTAACTCTGTAAACCCTTAGAGAGGCCAGTATCTAATTTCAGACCCTACAGTAATACTGCTGAATCATTCATAAAGATCATGAGAATAAAATGAATGATTGCTGAGCTGAGAAACTTAAATTGTTAAAGAAACTCTCCTTGTCATTACGAAAGGAAATGTAATACTATGGAAATGAGTATGGGAAAGTTGGATGTTGATGTTTGGATGTAAAGGTTAACACTGGATTCTTCTTGTTGTAGAGCAAAAAGCACTTGAGAAAGAGAAAGAACAACAGCAAAAACAACTTAGAAAGAGGCAAAAACAGCAAGAAAAACAACTTAAAAGAGAAGCATATGAAGCAATGGAAAGACAGAAAAAAATGATGGCAGAAGAAACTGACAAGGCTATAAAAGGTACAAAAGTCCTTTCTATTGATAGAACTAATCATAATGAGATAGATTTGAACTGACAGGAATAATTTTAAAGCCTTCCAAACAATACCATTTCTTGCTTTTTTCGTTTAGCTCAAGAAGAATTCATGGAAACCAGACCTGGTAAACCAGAGGCTCCAACCCAAGGTAGGATCTTTTGTCTTAACCCTTTAACTCCCATATCAAATTTGTAATTCTCCTTACTGTCAACCATACAATTCTTATAATGTTAGTTCAGAGAATTTAGTATTGAATCAGCTAATTATCCCCCAAATTGATATTTTCCTTTATTCTCATCACTTATCTGGTTGATATTGTATTGATATTGTAAGGAGAAATTCTGTCTTGGTCACTCGTGGGAGTTAAAGGGTTAAGTAAGAGAGACACTGATTGAAGGCACAAAAATCTGAATGTTTTTGTTGTTATATACGCCAGTGACTCAAAGGCTAATGATCAAATCAACAGGTTATTGTTAGACTGGCATGAAGAAGTGCTTTGGCTGTGCAAGCACTTTCCTTTCCTGTAACTTTTTTTTTTCATAATTCTAATGTCATGTTCTATTGGGATCAACTGTTCCAGCTACAAGCAGAAGCTTCACATGGTTAAAGTCTCCTTAGAGAATACTTTTTGCATGTAAATGTTGAGACAGTATGTTATTACATGTGCATTGAACTCTGCATACTACGTAGTTGCAGCATGGAAAGGCATGGCTTAGGCCAAGACTAAGTTTGATTCTTTCAACCTTTCAACTCTCAAAAATGATAAACATATAACTTCTCCATATGATACCATTCACGACATGAGTCAATTTCAGTGAAGTGGTAATGAGAATTCTCAAACTTATCTGGTAGAAGTTATTATCTTGATCTAACACAAAATTCTTGTAACTAATTTACAAAAAAAAATTGTAGGTGTTGGTGGAGAGAATTATCAATCGGATCATTAGAGTAAAAGAACTAATGACAGTAGATGCATGTAAAATTTTACTATAATTTTTCCCATTTCTTGCAGAGGAAGATGGAGGGTTGATGGGACTGTTATTGATTTGCACGCTTCTTACTCTGGGTGTTGCCATGGCCATTGTTATCTTCTGTCATCATGATGCCACTTGCCATGAATTGTTATCATCATTATCATCTTGACAACACCTAATTGTGTCAGAGAATAGTTTAACTATAATAGAATTACAATATGGTCAGAAAGGTCAGAGTCAGAGTTGAAATATTGTGCTTTTAAATGATTTCCAAGCTATGGAGATGAAGATTAATTGAAAGTTCTAAAATGCAGTTTAGGTCATCAGCAGTCACATAACCAATTTCTTGTGATACAAGTGCAGGTGATGTTCTGTAGTTGTTAGAAATAGATAAGCCAAAGTGGAGGGAGGGGGGGAGGGAAGGAGAAGGGGGGAAGGGGAGGAGGGGGGCTTATTTTATGCACACTCCAGGTCTTTTCTCTCTCTCCAGTAATCCAGTCGATGTCTCTGGGAACAAGAACAATTCTTCAACTTTAATTTCAACCACAAGAACTTTGTTTACCCAAATGCAAACAAAGAAGGGGGATTTACGTCTTTCTCTGAAACAGATGAAATAAACCAGGAAATCAATTAACATGAAATTAATGAAAATATTGAGGTATGAGACACACAAACAGAAAGGTGCACCATTTGGTGAGTGGTTTAATCACCTTAACCCTTAAACACCTAGAGGTGATTAATGTGTAACTTCTCCTAGTAATATCCATACATTATCCAGTTTACAGGTAATGAGAATACTTAAACTGAAGTTATTTTGACCAAGCACCAAATTCTCTTATCTGGTTCACAAGGAAATGTGTAGCAACTAGAGGGGAGAATTAACAATCTGATCTTGGAGTGAAAGGGTGAATGAGTGCTGGATTGTTTGTAGTGAAGGAGCTGAAATTTGAAAGTTATGAAAATTAGACAACTTATTATTGAATGAATATTCCCTCGACCTTAGCACACAAGTCAGGGAACTTTGATATGAAAATGATTTAAGGAAATGCTCAAGTAAAATACTAATTTCTTAATTATACGTAGACATTCTTACAATCGCCCGTACCTTGTATTTTTGTAAAATACAGTTGGAGTACTGTGCTGAATGGTACAGAGTTCAGATTGTCTTATCCTAGAATATTAAAAGGCAGCCAGGATATTAAACATGAGGCAGTTCCAAATGTGATACATTATTTTAAATGTGTTTGAAAGATGGTGACTGTTAGAGCTCATTTCGAATAAGTATCGTTCACGCCGGCCAATCAAAACACACGAGAGTGGAGCAGTTTTAACTTACGCGTTGAAATTAATCAGGGCTTGCATTGGTTTTGCTTTCCTGTGGGCTTTGATTGGTCTAAAAAACTCACTCCAGCAGTTTAACCAATCAGACGAAAAACTAACTTCCAATCGCGACTTAGTCACTCGAAATTTCCCGCGCCCTGTTTGTTTGCTGTGATTTCTCTAGTTTTGGTTTTAAGACAGTAAGTTGATATGCGCTCTATCTCAAGGAGCCAATGAGAACTCCAAAAAAAAAATTTTAAAAATAAGAAACCACCTGAAGCGCAAAAAAATCTGACTGTCTAAGTCGCGCGGTTTCAGTTTTCCGTATAATCTGTGGGGAGGAGGGTGTGAATCTTCTAGTCCAGTTACGGGGCGAGTATCTTTCGACTGAATGGAAATATTTTTTCTTGACAACCTAGCATGGACTAGAACTGGATGAATACCTGACAAACTGTCAGCGATGTTTCCTTCTACCAGCGGGTAGAGATTATTTCAAAATAAAAATTGAGATGGAGACTGTTCCACCCAAAACTGATATCTATCAGGGCTATCAAAAGAGATTTGTTTATCTATCCAACAACAAAGACAAGCCTCAGTGTTGAGTTTGACTCCTTTTCATCCATCTGTATTGATGTCATGGCCAGCAGTTGTGTGATGGAGAGAGCTTTTTGGACAGCGCTCATGATCGCCTTAAATTCACTCTTGGAAACATTCATTCACGAGGTACCAATAATGTGTTGCTCTATGGATATCAAACTTTGGGTTTAAATCCGGTCTAACAATAGGGCTGATGAGTGCGCCATTCAGGGACGTATACTTTGCTCGAAAGGATTAATTTGCTGGTTTGCTTAAAAAAAAAAATCTTGAAGTATCGATTCTTAGCCGAATGCTTCGGCGCGAAATTTGAAATTATTGGAAATGATCTAAATGACAATCGAAATCCGCCTCGGTCGACGGGTGAGAAGGTTAAACAACTAATCACTCACCGGGTGACTTAAGGAAAACTTTGGTGTATGCAAACAAATATGGGGAGGCGTTTCAATTGTTCGGCCTATTAGACATAAGACACTTTCGCGCTGTTTTGGCCCAAAATCAAAAAGCAAAGGTCAAAGTATATAATTAAAAATTTTAAAGTAATAACCATATAGACCTTGGATTGGCAAGAGCCTCAGACGGACTTGTCTCTCAAGCCCTTCTACGTCCTTGGTTATTAATAAAATAATTTGCATGAATTGGGGGTTCCTTTGTTATTCATAAGACGGCAAAATGCTTCTGGTATAATAACAAGGAATTCAAAGCTGATTGCCTTATTGAGTTAAAAAAATATGGGTCAATGAATCAAAATACACCGATAAACATCGTGAGCTAAACAACGTTTTACGACCAGGAAAATTTGAAACCAGTCATCCTCTGATTTCATCGTCAGCTTTGACGCACTTGAACTGTTAAGAAAAACTCATTACTACGCAGATACTCAAACTTAATTGACTAACATTTTCCAGATATATTTTGTTATCTACCCGGTTAGAGATTATTTTAAGGATCGACTTAACAGGGTAAAAAACTGACGAAATCCTTAGACGCTTACCTTGAGGAAAAACCCGTCAAACACGCACTCATTGTGGAGAAATATTTTGTAAAAAACAGTTTATGATAGGTGCAAATGAGCCACCTATTTTTTCTCCTTTCAGGATCGTAATAACTTTTGTTTCACTAACTCAGAATTTTTTTTAAGAAAACAATTCCAATTACAGAAACTGTGACGACCTCAGGTTGTGTTGGTACCTCGTAGTCTATTTCACGCGTGTCTGATGACGTATGATAATATTTGGCATCTCGACTGATTCCGTTCTCTGCCCAGGCAGATATCATGATTACTTATTAAGGGCTAAATTTGACTGAAATCCAAGACGATCGCGATTCACGCTTATGTTCTCGTAAACCATATACACATTCATCTCTCAGCGGTTTCACCGCAGGCCGACTCAACGAACACGGAAAGAGATTAGCAACTTGCTTAGGCAAGCAGAAACGCTTTCAGAGGCGTTTCAGATTAATCACGTCTCTGTTTCCTCCTTGTAAGTTATGACTGCCTAATGAGTCGTGACTTAGACACTGAGGAAACCACCTAGCGAAAGGTCATGATGATCTCATTTCCCGAAGTCCTTGAAAATATATCCCGAATTGTGTGAGCACATTCGGGATCGATCATAGAAATCGTCAGAAAACGGAAAATAAACTCAATCCACTGATAGATTCTTCCTCGTGTATGCTTTTAAGTTTTATTTTTCCTCTTCCTTTGTCTCCTCAAGCCTTTATACATGATCGGTTTTTTCGCAATCGAGGCCAGCCGTAATTAATAGAAGTACGTGAAAACTCAGTTTCGGTTCTGTGTATGTGTTTGACTTGCTTAAGCTGGCACGAAAACTTTTAAGCTATAAAATGACGGTTAGCTTAAAGTTTGCTCTTTCCTTCTACAACCATAATGTCAGAGACGGATCAAATAACTGGGAGAGGATCTAAAGTGAATTTTTGTGACGTCACGTAAATTCTCGAATTTCACTGTTAAAATACATCTTCGCTTCAGCTTACATGGAAAGGGAAATTTTCGCTAATCTGACTTGTAAATAGGATGGATTTTGAAAATACCCGCATTTTCCGTTTAGGGCCAAAAGTGCATTGGATCTGTCATAACGAAATTGAAATATTCTCTTGAGTTTGTGAACAGCAACAAAAATGATAACAATAATCAAATAAAAAAGTACATAATATATAGCTTATTTAACTAAAAATGACGTAATTAAAGTTGCACATCGCATTAGAGACACTCATTCCACCCACGAAAATTGTGAAATACTTCCTCAACAAGGGTATGTTTGTCTAGAAATCCATTCTTCGATTTCCGACCGCTCTGAAGGTTTTATTCGTTGACCTGCATGAATCACGAGAGATTTTAAAGCCGGGATTCTTTTGCCAATTTAGGTCAGGAAATTGCCGGAGCCTGAAAAGCGCACGGATTGTTTGCTGGCATATGATCTCAAAGAGTATGCATTGTTGTACCATGTGATATTCATTGACCAATCAGAGACTCGCCTTAGTCTGCTGGGTGAGTGTGGGTGACTTCCGTGTTGGATCGATCGTCAGCTTATTTTTGTTGTCGAGTGCTCGTTTCGCTAGAAGGTGCAATTACTGCCAATTTGCCCTACTGACAAGAACCAAGACGTATTCATGACGAGAATGGATGATGAAGATATCGTGATCTCAGGATATCTGCGGAAATCGCCTCCAGAAAACAAATTTAAAGTCAGCTCGGTAAGCGATTATGTAAAATGCCCTGTAATTATTTAATACCTTGATTTTGTAAGTTTAAATTCGAGTGCATTTGGTCGTTATCAAGATATGAAGCCTGTGAGGTACATCCATACTTATTTTATATGCTAAGTGCTTCATCAATACCCAGTTTCCGTTCCTAGCCTGAGACAGTTTTGAACAATTGTTTAATCAGGGACTTCGTTGTAGCGTACGCTGGTTGACTGATCTTTGGTCGATCGGGGCTTCTATCAATGAAGCGAGCTGATCGAAAGATTCTATCCGGCATGCTAACCCTACCAAGTTTGAAGTGTTTCCGATTTTAACTCCCTTATAATGATTCGGGGTTTTGCAAGGTATAGATTACGAACAACAGACTATGATAAACAATTAAGATGTTAGTGGCATTCGCTTAATCTACAAGGTGTTCATGGTTGCTACGACTTCCGTAGGCCATCAGTTTAATTAGGGAATCCTTTCGAACGACAAATGATCTCACCGGTTTTTCCCGTTGCAACTAAGGGAATACTGAAAGTCTTAAGCAACTCTTCTGTCCATACTGGAATTATTCCTTTTTCGCTATGAATATTACTCCGACAATTCTCATCTCT